GGGGGGGGGAGATAAACATGAACAAGAGTGGCTGCTGACATCAGCAGGCTAGATCTACACGGTGTTTAACAAAGCACTGGCGCTGGTCTTCCGGCTGTAGATCAGAAGCTATTGATTTTGCGACACATGTCCTCGGTTGTTCTGTCAATAAGTTTAGTTTTAGTAAGAGTTTTAAGGCGCTCGCAAACTGCATAAGGTCATTTGAGCGCCGGAGATTAGAGGTGTTACAAGAGAGTAATAAACACAAAACAGAAGGAGGACAGACACGTTTGAGTTTTAGTAAGTGTTTTACGGCACATGCAACACAATAAGGTCATATAAGTGCCGAAGAATAGAGGTGCTACAAGAGAGTAACAAACAAAAAAGAAGGAGCAGAGATCAGGACGATAAATGTTTGATAAGAAAGAAGGAGCAACCACACCAGAGCACCCGCCAACCACCCACTAGTAAGTGTTTTACGGCACTTGCAACACAATGAGGTCATATAAGTGCCGAAGATAAGAGGAGTTACAAGAGACAAACACAAAACAGAGGGAGGAGAGATAAGTCTTAGTTTTTAGTAAGTGTTTTACGGAACATACAACACATAAGGTCATATAAGTGCCGAAGATTAGAGTTGTTACAAGAGAGTTTTAGTTTTAGTAAGTTTAACGGCACAGGCAACATAATAAGGTCATATAAGTGCCGAAGATTAGAGGTGCTACAAGAGAGTTTTAGTTTTAGTATGAATTTTACGGCACTTGAAATTCAATAAGATCATATAAGTGCCGAAGATTAGAGGTGTTACAAGAGAGTAACAAACACAAAGAGCTGGGAGTTTGATAGATTCTACTTCTTTTCTGTAACTGTTGTTGAGCTTTACGGCACTTGCAACAGAACATTTTTTTGCTTAAGAGTTTTACGGCACTTACAACACAATAAGGTCATATAAGTGCCGAAGAATAGATGTGTTACAAGAGAGTAACGTACACACAAAAAAGGAGAGAAAAGGACGATAGATGTTTGATAGGAAAGAAGGAGCAAACCATATCAGAGCACCTGCCAACCACTCACCTCCAAAGCTTAAAAGTATTACAAGAAAGTAGTCGACGCAAAAAAAGGGAGGAGAGATAAGGGCGATAGATGTCTGATAGGAAAGAAGGAGAAAACCGCAGCACAGCACCTGCCAACCACCCACTTACAACTTTCCGTTGCATATCGGGAGAGACCGAGGCGTTGGGCCCAGCTTGACCTGAAATGACCAGTGTTGACCCGAGCAACATCTGTACACAGACACACAAGTCGCTGGGTGACGTAACGTGAGCTGGAAGATGGTCACGTCCGATTCTCCTGGTCTTCTGTCCCCCCCCCTCTCTCTCTCTCTTTCTAACTCTCTCTCCCTCTCTTTCTCTCTCTCTTTTTCTCTCTCTCGCACTCTCTCTCGCACTCTCTTCCCTCTCTTTCAAACGCTCTCTCTTTCTCCCTCTTTTTCTCTCTCTCTGTTTGTCTATTTATCTCTCTCTTACACACACATACACACACACATACACACACACACACACATAAACACACACACACACACACACACACACACACACACACACACACACGGTAACTGGACTCGTATTTAATTCATTTAGTTTTCTTCTATTCATCATTTAAGTCATTTTTCAATTCATACATTCTTTCTTCGATTCATTAATCTATTCATTAATGTTAAATGTCAATTCATTCTTCTATTCGTTCATCGAGCTCATTCATCAGCCTCTTCACTTATAATAATATCATGGTTTAGTCACGTTCAATCAATTGTCAACGCTTTTTAAACATTTATTCGTTCTTTTAATGCTCTTTCTTCCATGCATTCGTTCAATTCGTTCTGTACTTTATCTTCCATTTATTCGCTTTCCCAGAAAGAACTCTGGGTTCGTATTCATCATGTCGTGCCCAGCGCTTAGGTTTAATATTATTTCTCCATTAAGGTTGCAGTCTGTATCTTTATCACTGTGGGGTCCCAGTACTCTTCCCAGGGGGGTTCTTTTTTGTCCAGCTCTGCCATTTATACTTCCAAAATAAGTATAACTATCTTATTTGTTCTTGATAGTGTTAATGAGGTCACTCAGGTCTTGGAAATATGACTGTATATCTTCCTTTGTATAGCTGTCGTTACATGGAGCTTATGTTTGGATCTACGTTGTTGTTTTGACGAACTCTATGAGTTTTATGCCCACTATCCTCTCTGAGATCTGGTCGATTTCATAGATTGTATCCTTTTTTGGCTGGGTGTATGAGGAAAGGTCTTTCATTTTCAGGTGTTCCGCTCCAGATTCACAGATCTGATATAATATTCCTCAACTCATAGATTGTATCCTTTTTGGCTGGGCGTATGAGGAAAGGTCTTTCATTTTCAGGTGTTCCGCTCCAGATTCACAGACAGATATAATATTCCTTAACGTAGTTTATTCGTTCTTTCTCCCATTCCTTCATTCAGTTCTTTGTCTCCTTTTTCCTTCCTTCGTTCGATTCCCCAGATTAACCCCGACGCTGATGCTGATTTTCTACATATTTGCGGCCACCTTCCCATTCTGGACGGACAGCCCAATCTGGACACGTGTAGAAATTTGGGATGACAGATGCACCGACACCTGGTGGCACACGCTACTCTATATAAACAACTTCAAAAGAGGGGTAATTTCTTTTGTGCATGTGTGTGTGTGTGTGTGTGTGTGTGTGTGTGTGTGTGTGTGTATGTGTGTGTGTTTGTGCGTGTGTGTGTGCGGGTTTCTATGGATTATTTAGAATGACAGCTCCAATCCATCCTTTCATATTCTCGTCTTTTTTTACAACTTCAAAAGAGGGCTTATTAGTTTGAATTTCTTATTTTGTTTAGTATTACAGTAGTACTTTGGGGTTGGGTTTTTTTTGCTTTGTTTATATATTTGGGGTTTTGTTGTTGTTGTTGTTTGTTGTTGTTGGGTTGTTGTTGGTTTGTTGTTGTTGTTTTTTGGGGAGGGGTTAGTTGCTTGGGTGCTGGTGGTAGTGGTGGTAATGATGGTGATGATGATGATTATGGTATCTGGTATTAAGGATGATCAAGGATAGATTAAAATAATATGCATGTAGAAACGTTGTCCTGATAAACAGGGTCGAAAAAGCCCCCCCCAAGTGACTTACATTCTATTGAAGAGGGCGTAAAAAAACAACTGAATTTATTGTTGCCTTTCTTCAGTGTTTCCCGTGGACCTGGTACCTGGCCGTGGATATGCAATTCTACGTAATCTCACCGATCTATGTCTACCTCATGTACAGGTGAAGAACTATGCTTTTAGCTTACCTCACATCTCATTTTTAATGAAGGTTTTTTAACACAGGCTAAGAAGGATACAATGTCAAAGCAGAAAGACTGGGATAAGCGATAAAAAAGAATTATCCCCATTCGAGAACCGAACTCTGACCTCTTGTGAGCGACGCCGAAGTGCCTGATTGCTACACCATAGACGTCAGTCACTACACATTGAAAATAAGCGGCAATTTCTTTTTGTGTGACGATATAATAAGACATCATAATTAGTAGTAATAGTAGGCACTTACTTTTACTTTTTCATCCTCTGCTGCCGTTAAGCGTCAAGGGGAGGTGCAGATTTCTAGGGTAGGCCAGCTTCGCAGCTGATAATCACATTATCCTCATGCCATAATATTATATTATATCACAGCACCCGTTGTCATGCCGTATGATATCACGTCATACAATATCATATTGTATCACCACCGCCCCCGCC